AGCTCTGACCAAATGCCTGAGAAAAACTTACAGAAGGACACATTTATTTATTTATTTATTTATTTATTTATTTATTTATTTATTCTTTTTGAGACAGGGTCTCGCTATGCAGTTCAAACTGGGCTTGAGCTCACTTTGTAGCCCAGGCTGGTCTCAAACTCACAATGATCCTCCTGCCTCAGCCTTCCGAGTGCTGGGGCTACAGGAGTGTGCCACCATGCCCGGTGGACACATTTATTTTGACTCACAGTTCAGAGGCTTCAGTCCATGGTCAGCTGTTTCTATTGCTGTGGGCCTGAGATGAGGTGGAATATCATGGTAGAAGGGCATGGTGCAGGAAAGCTGCCCACCTTGTGGCAGCCAGGAAGCAGAAAGAACAAGACAGCCAGAGAGGTAGGGGCCAGGCACTGGTCTGATAGGCAGACTGGACTCTCAGTCTACTTGCATTTGTCCTGAAAATCTGTACCATAACACATGAGGTTTTCACCACAAAGAAAGCCTCGATAGCTCAGCATTTATATTACTGCTCAAATACCATGAAAATTGTCATCCAGTTCTTGATTATGCTTTAAGCTGATGTGGTTGGAGGAGAGCTAATTGTATTCATTGTATTAAGCTTAGCATAATCCAATAAGGCAATTGTGCATATCATCACTGATGAAGGTTTACAATCGGACAAGCCCTGTAACATCTGAGGCAATAGTCACACGAAAATTTGTCACTGTGACAGCTGGATGGCTGATTATCAAAGACATTATGGATTGCTCTCTGACACCATGGGCAAAGAGTTTGGAAGCTTTGCAAGAAAAGGTGTTCAGAAACTAATGATATTTTTCTCTGAGAAATCTAATCTTTTGACCATGGACATCAGAGATGTTTTCCATCCCATTTATTATTTTTGTAGCTGCATTGCAGAAATGCAAACAGATATACAGGTTATATCTGAGTATGAGTGGTACCAGTCCTAGAGAAAAGAAGAGATACTTCAATATCACATCTTGGAAATAAAAGCAGAAAAAAAAATGCTCAAATGAAGTAATTTGTGCAACAACTCCATCAGTGCATCCCATAGCAAACTTTTTCAATGGTAGTACCCATAATTGTGTCTTGTCTGCTAATTTCTTTTTATTAGCCACCTTATTGTGTAAAGTTAATTTGGAGAAGGACACCATAAACTAAAAAACAGAAACTACTTGATTAAAAGCAAGGTATATCAAGAAGGATATAATACCATTGAAATTATTAAAAGAGATGGAACTACCCAAGAAAAATTAATCTCACAATGAGGTTAATGCTCTCACCATTTCGGCATAAATGTTCCCAAGCATTGACTTGGTAGTGTCTTTTTCTAAGTCTTAAAAGACTGAACAGATACTCCTAAAGGGCAGCCAACTATCTTTCAAAAGTGATTTATTTAATTGACTAATTTATTCTTTCCTGTCTTGTTTTGAGTGCCAACGGGGTACAAAATGCAAGAGGTTGTGGCAGAAGAGTGAGTTCTATCATCATTAATGGATGCACAGGGGTAATCAATCTGGATTCCAGAAAATGCAAAGAAACCAGGATAACCAAACTGACCATCCTGACAAAAATGGCCCGGAATGGAAGGGAGACAGAAACGGCACCAAGGGTTTTGCAGAAGGTTTTCTTATATTGAGGAAGATGTCTGACCATAGATATGGCTGAAATACTCATAAATAAGCAATGTTTGCCAATGCTGTGGCTATTTTTTTTTAACAAAACAAATAAGAAACAATCACTTACAATTAGTTTTAAAAGAGACTGCCAAATAGAATATACATGAGATTTTTATCATACCATATTTTGGCAGGCAGAAACATAAACATGTTAAGGAATAAATATCATGTATTTCACCTCTATTCATTTTGCCTAAATGGAATTCTTCCGCTTGGCAAATATACTTCCCTTACTCAGCAAAATCCAATGTGAGTCCCAAACTATTTCTTATTAGCCTAATTCCTTTCAATAAGGCATTAAATCATTTTACTGCAAACGCTGAACGTCTTCTTACCGCAGGGAATATTATCATAGGCTTATTTTTTGATCTATGCTCCAGATTTTCAAGATTCTATTGCAAACAAAATGATCCTTTATGATATAATATTCCACCTAGTTTATTGCTTTTCAGAATTTCTATTGTTAACTAAAGGATCTCTGCCCAACTCTCCTACTCCATAAAAAAAAGAATCTATTCCCCAACCGCCTATGAGAAATCAAATAAAAATCGTTCTATCACAGCAGCAGTGTCGGTCATGCCAATTTCACAGTGTGACTGGCGCACTCACTTCACTTTGAAAATGACCCTGCCCTCTATCTGTCTAAGCCAAATGGCCTGCTTTTTTCAAGCCAGGCCTCTGGAGCAACATCACAGGGCATAAGGAGGAAGACAAGATGGCTGCCCTCCCGCCCACCTCACCTGCCATGCTCAGAGGTAGCAACACAACACAGGGGAAAGAATCCCAACTGATCCCTGGAAGGATCAAAGTTATGTGGGGAACAGCAAATAGTCCTTTTATTTTTTCATGCATTTTCAGGAAGTCTTTTAAAGGTGAATTTTTTTGTGACCCAAATTCAACTACTTTGCAAAGCAGAGAAAAAGACTAAAGCTATGAAAGGCAATTTCTTGTTTCTCTGTTCTGTCATCTTACCTCAAGAGCCAGGGATATAGCTCAGCGGCACAGCGCCTGCCTAGTAAGCATGGGGCTTGAGTTTGATAGCTGTTACAAAAAAAAGAAAGAAAGAGCTCATGATATGAGGATTTGAAAATATTGAGCCTTTCTGATAGTTTCCAAGGAGCATCTACCAGGCTGGCATAAAGGAGAAAATCCCTTACTCTCTAATGATTGAGCAGCATTAGCCAGCATCTCGCAGGCCGCATATGTTTCGGATTTGAAGATCAGAAAGGGCTGCAGCTAGAGGCTGAGCTGGAAGAAGCTTGATATAGACTTGCAGTGTCCTTCCTCAGCTGTTTTCTCTGGTGATCTTGTGTAGCAGTCTAGAGCTATACTCAACTCTCCCCAGGTACAGCCTGTGCCTCTTTTTGGTATTTATGCAGTGGGAGGTTTCTTTGCTGGTCCTACTCAGAAGAGTACAGATGTGGCAAAATTCTCATCAATGGAGAAGAATGTATGTGAAATCAGTTGCTTTAGCATTCGTATGGCGGCTAAAGTCGCTTTACAACCGTAACTGGCGATTGGGAACTACACCACCCCTAATTACTTCCTAATACTGGCTTACCATTAAAACTCAGGCCAGGGAGTTCAAATATCGACTGCCCAAATCAGACTGTTGGTTACTTTAACACAAAAATGACAATAATTTTTTTAAAAAGTAATTTATTAATATTTCTTCAAAATTGGGCCCTTGCATGAATTGAGCTCATTCATCAGGCCCGAGTTCTCTCTGAACTGAGCTTTTAGATAACATGGTTTAGCCATTTCCTATGTGTCTATGTGATCTTGGGCAAGCTACTCAACCTTTCTGAGCCACAAGCTCTTTATCTGTAATATGCCGAATTCAGGGTCGTTATTCAGCATGTAAGTAGCCTATTATAGAGCTGTGTAAATACAGTTGGTACAGCCTCCAAAATTTATATATAGAAAAAATTCATAAGCAGCAATATTACTGAGGAAGCAAAATTGCATTGGAGTTTTTAATTACAAAGCAAAGACATGGCTTTCACTTGGATATTTTCCTTGAGTGCTAGTGAGGTCCACAGAGACGGTGGATGACTTTGAAAGACAATGCCCTGCCCCAGGTCACCAGCACCTGATGCAACCTCATAATTTATGGCCATGATCACAGGCATTCCTCATTTAACCACAGTTATGGCTAGGTTCTTAGCTGAATCAGAGGCTAAATAAGGAATGTATATAGCATATACATTACAATATTCAGAACAAAGAAATAGTCAAAGGAAATTCCAACTGGATGACTGCTTTTATTTGCATAACTCTTACATACAGTACTGTAATGTGTAGCAATATAGAGCTACCGTACTGTAGTGTACAGAACGATCAGCAAAAATCACAGTAGTGCATAAACAAGGTGTACGGTACAGAAAAAGACCTTGAGGCTCTATACACAAGTAGTACAGAACTGTACCAAAAAAAAAAGGGACAGGTTGTAAGGAAACAATGGGTGGTGAAGTCCTTCTGACCAGTGTAGCCACAGTGTTAAGTCTGAACAGTCGTTAGCTAGGTAGGTCATTAAATGAGGAATATCTGATTTATCTTGAAAATGACATGATTTACTATTATCTCTCTGAGAATAACCAGTTTTGCATTTTACTATCTTATATACACTACTGCTCTAGTATTTGAAAGTTTGTACTTATGCTTCCATAAATTCTACAGTCTCCACGTCAGTTAAATCTATATTTTTTAAATTAGTGATTCAAATTACTTTTATAGGACAAGTAAGTTCCTAGTTTGCCCCTCCCCCATCATGGGCACTATTACATTTTTTAAAATTATATAAAAGCCCTGAGATAGAAATGAGGAATTTAGAGCATCTATTCCAACTGCACAAGAAAGAACAAAAGAAAACCAAGAGTGTTTCTCGTACAGTCTAACACACCTGCCCAGAGATCATCAAACTAAGAATTTAGGGGCTGGACAGAGAGAGGAGAAAGAGATTTGGGTAATTTGTTTGTGACTGAAAAAAAAAATCCATTTTAAAATCAGCTCGATAATATCCAAAAACAGCATTAAAAGCTTGACAAGTAAAAACTGAGTATCGGGGCTGGGGATTTAGCTCAGCGGCAAAGTGCCTGCCTGGCAAGCGCAAGGTCGTGAGTTCGGTTCACGGTACCGGAGAAAAACCAAAAAAAAAACAAAACAAAACAAAAAAAAAACCAAAAAAAACTGAGTATCTCTGTCACACACCCACACCTCACAGGCTAATTTAGTGGAGATAAATGGAGTTAGAAACGTAACAATGAATATGACGGGAGCCCAGATTCGTCATGCATTTTCTTCAGCCTTGGAACAGACAAGGTCATGCATTTCCCCCAACGATGATTGTACGTACTATGGATGATTGCACCTGGTATGGCTAACTTAAACGCCAACATATACTCGGCAATATTTGTCATTTATGAAAAAAGGGAGATGCGTGGATCTAAAATGATCCTCTCGGTAGATTAAGATGCACATTGTTTCCCCTCGTCATTCTCAGGAAACGAGTAAACTCCTGGTGGTTGCACTATTCTGATCTCAGAAAGTGTGCCCTCAGAAGAGTTTGAGGAGAACCTCTACTTGAATTCCAGGGGAATCCCAAAGCAAAAACACGACTTTCAATCTCGTTTCTGTCACCAAATGTGAAATGACACTGTACAGTGAATCTGCACATCAGAAGGAACCTCGGATCCTAAACCTTTCTTCTTTTGAAAGAGACCGAAGTGATACAACATAAACGGTGAGCAATGCCCAGAAAACGAAGGGCGACATCCCTGAGTGTGTAGCCTACATGTAAAAACTACATCTCCCAGCATGCAACGCGACCACACCACTGAAACGGCGCAGGACGGGAGGTAGAGTTTTGTCGTCCGAAAAACTTGAAGTTTCCTCTGTCTTCCGATTCTAGCTACCCTCACTCCTGAGTCTTTCAGCACTAAGCCTAAGAAACTGACAGACTTGTATCTTGGGTTCCTCTTCATTCCTAACAGTTTCTTTTCGCTGTACAACTACTTCTGGACAGACTTCCGTTTCCGGTTGGCTCGTTCCCTTGGAAACGAGGAGACGCCACAATTTCAGTAGTTATGGCGGGACTGAGCTGCTCGCAGATCCCCGACGGTGAGTTCACCGCGGTGGTGTACCGGCTCATCCGCGATTCTCGCTACTCCGAGGCGGTGCAGCTGCTGGCCGCTGAGCTGCAGCGCAGCCCCAAGAGCCGCGCCGGGCTGTCGCTGCTGGGCTACTGCTACTACCGCCTGCAGGAGTTCGTGCTGGCCGCAGAGTGCTATGAGCAGCTGAGCCAGCTGCACCCCGAACTCGAGCAGTACCGCCTGTACCAGGCCCAGGCCCTATACAAGGCCTGCCTGTATCCCGAGGCCACTCGGGTGGCCTTCCTCCTCCTGGACAACCCCGCCTATCACAGCCAGGTCCTCCGCCTGCAGGCTGCTATCAAGTACAGCGAGGGCGATCTGCCAGGGGCCAGGGGCCTCGTAGAGCAGCTGCTGAGTGGGGAAGCAGGAGAAGAGAGCGCGGGAGAGAACGACCGCGATGGCCAGGTCAACCTGGGTTGTCTGCTCTACAAAGAGGGACACTACGAAGCTGCGTGCTCCAAGTTCGTTGCGGCCCTGCAGACCACAGGCTACCAGCCAGACCTTTCCTACAACCTGGCGCTGGCCCATTACAGCAACAGGAACTACGCCCCAGCTCAGAAACATATCGCAGACATAATCGAGCATGGCATCCGCCAGCACCCTGAGCTCGGGGTGGGCATGACCACTGAGGGCATAGATGCTCGCAGTGTTGGCAACACCTTAGTCCTGCACCAGACTGCTCTGGTGGAAGCCTTCAACCTCAAGGCAGCCATAGAGTACCAGCTGAAAAACTATGAGGCGGCTCAGGAAGCCCTCACTGACATGCCACCTAGGGCAGAGGAAGAGTTGGACCCTGTGACCCTGCACAACCAGGCACTCATGAACATGGATACCAGGCCTACAGAAGGATTTGAAAAACTACAGTTTTTGCTCCAACAGAACCCCTTTCCCCCAGAGACTTTTGGCAATCTCTTACTGCTGTACTGCAAGTATGAGTATTTTGACCTGGCAGCAGATGTTCTGGCGGAAAATGCCCATTTGACTTACAAGTTCCTCACCCCCTATCTCTATGACTTCTTGGATGCCATGATCACCTGCCAGACAGCTCCAGAAGAGGCCTTCATTAAGCTCGATGCGCTAGCTGGGATGCTGACTGAGCAGCTCCGGAAACTCACCAAGCAAGTACAGGAAGCAAGACACAACAGAGATGAAGATACTGTCAAAAAGACAGAGAATGAGTATGATGAAACCCTTGAGAAATACATTCCTGTGTTGATGGCCCAAGCAAAAATCTACTGGAATCTTGAAAATTATCCGATGGTGGAAAAGATCTTCCGCAAGTCTGTGGAGTTCTGTAATGACCATGATGTGTGGAGGCTGAATGTAGCTCATGTCCTGTTCATGCAGGAAAACAAATACAGAGAGGCCATTGGGTTCTATGAGCCCATCGTCAAGAAGCATTACGATAACATCCTGAACGTCAGCGCTATTGTATTAGCTAACCTCTGTGTTTCCTATATTATGACCAGTCAGAATGAAGAAGCTGAGGAGCTGATGAGGAAGATTGAAAAGGAGGAAGAGCAACTGTCCTACGACGACCCAGAAAAGAAAATCTACCATCTGTGCATTGTGAATTTGGTGATAGGAACACTGTACTGTGCCAAAGGAAATTATGACTTTGGCATTTCTCGAGTTATCAAGAGCTTGGAACCTTACAATAAAAAGCTGGGAACTGATACGTGGTATTATGCCAAAAGATGCTTTCTGTCCTTACTGGAGAACATGTCAAAGCACATGATAGTGCTTCGCGACAGTGTTATTCGGGAGTGTGTGCAGTTTCTAGAGCACTGTGAACTTCATGGCAGGAATATACCTGCTGTTATAGAGCAGCCGCTTGAAGAGGAAAGAATGCATATTGGCAAGAACACGGTCACATATGAGTCCAGGCAGCTGAAAGCTCTGATTTATGAGATTATAGGGTGGAACTCATAATACCTGTTAATGGCTTTAATCGGAATGTAACTTTAATAAATTTGTCATGTCCAAATAAAGTTTTGCAGTTTTATCTGTATTTAGCCTTTGGCATATAAAGCCTTTAGCCTTTATAATTGTTACATGTAAACTTTATACATTTTAGCATTATAAGATGAATGTTAGATAAAACCTTTTTGTTTTGAAATACGCAAAATATTAAATAAGCTTGTCCCAAGAAAGAGTTGTAAAAAGTTCAAAAGTGATGAGCGATATTGTGTCTGTTAGAACTTATGATGTCTATTCGTCCTTTTTAAATTTTGTGCTTTGATGTAACTTGAGGGGTCCTACACATGTACTCCATTACCCAGGGCCCAGACACATACGTCCAAAACTCAGAAGTAATTAATGTATAGGATGTGTAAGTTTTTAATAGTCATTTCAGGGATAGTCTGTGTTAGTTTCATAACTTATCCTCATAATTGTATTAATGTATAGTGTGTAGCTTTATATAACATTTAAGATAGTTTGATATTTAAGGTATGTCTAATGCTTTAACAAAAATGCCTTAGGTTATAAATGGTTTTAATGTGCAAGAGTCAGTGGATAATCTTGTTCGCTTAACATATGTTGCTGTGGTCTACAGACAATAAATATCAAAGAAGAAAATTTCCATGATTGTTTCTCCATCAGTTAATCGCTTCAATGTATGAACAAGACAACATTGTTACTGCTTTTTCTAACAATTTTGTTTTCATTTATCTCCCATAAAGACTAAGAGCAGAAGTACCCTGATAACTCAGCTGTTAATTATTGCCTCTGTGTTTTCAGTTTAGGATATGTTGTAGTTGTTTCCACGGTGTAGTAGCTTGGGTAAGGAAAAGTCTTTTCCCTTAACTCCCAGACCCCACCAAACTCCTTTCCATGCCTATCTCTGATGAAAAGGTCAATTCTGAAAACTATTAGAAGCATCATATTAGTTTCAATCCACAACTCCCCACATAGGTTTATTGGGTCCTCTTGGGAACCTCACACATCACCATCAGGTAATTTATTTTCAAATCCTATAAAAGATTTAGTATTTGTTTCTTCATCCTTCACTCCTTTTTCTCCATAAATGGATCTCCAACTCAAGTTGGCTTAGAAAAAATGGAACAATTAGGCTGAATCATACGAAATCGCTGATTTTGGACATACCTACAAAATTTAGTGGTTTGTCATAGTCAATTAATTGCTTTCTACTGAAACCCCTGGCATAATGAGATGATTTTTTTTTCTTTAGGGAAAACCTATTTAGTCACATAGGAACTCATATGTAGGCTCAGCATCATTCCTCAGTAGCGTGAAGTCCTACATGCTACGTTCTATTAGATCAGAAAAGCTAACACTGTGAAGTCAAATATTTTTGAATTTATGGCATTTTTAATCTTAACTATCTGAGCTGCTATCATTTACCAGTGATGCTTGATCTCACATCTGGAGAACAATCGATGTTTAATGATCTCTTCAGGGGATCCCAAGGCACGTTTTACATCTGGGAATAGTTCTTTAACAACTTGTGTATTAAAAGTATCACTGCAGTAGCTCTGTAACCCTCTCAATCTTTGTAACTCCTTAAGATTTGGAAAGTAAATGAACTAAAATCTTACTTTCAACAACCACATTAAAATTCTGGGTTTTTTCCTATTTCCTCTAACGCAAACTATTTTTAAAAAGATATAAAGTAAGTAATGTGAACCATTCAAAAGTAAATGTTTTCCAGATTCATTTTGCAAGAAGCCCAGTCCTTATTCGGCCAGTTTATTTACCCAGGTGCTGTGTGTTTATGGTTTGCATGTATGTGTAATTTAGCTTTCAGAACATAAAACACTTCTCAGAATAGCTTTTAACCCCTTGATGCTGGGCAGTTGGGATTTCCTGGCGAGCAATGCATTGGGAAATCCTGACTGCTCCTAACACCGAGTAATGGAATAAATGTCAGTTTTGGTATTTGTCCCCTTCCTTACCCTGGCTCTCCAGGGAAGTACCCATTGGACGCAGATGACTGACAGTGACAGTGAAGGCTCCTGAAGCACACTTTAAAAGTCCAGTACCTGGAGCTGAGGCTTGGGGGAACTGGGGGAGAGTGAGAGCATTCCTAACTCCTCTGAACTTGTTGCCCTTTATTTTTAGAATTATAGCTTTACAAGTCATTTTCCAAGTACCCCACTCTGTTTCTTGATTTTTATTTTTTGAGACAGGGTCTCACTATGTAGTTCAGGCTGGCCTTGAATTTACAGTAATCCTCCTGCCTCAGCCTCTTGAGTGGGATTGCAGGTGTGTGCCACCACACCTGGCACCTGTTCTACTTAATTCTAAGAGGCAAAGGACTTCACAGTGACCCCCATATTTCTCTATTTGATCAAAAACCTTCATCCTTAAAGTCCTGATTAAAAAAATAACTTTGTTCAGTGTTGCTAAAGCACACCTGTTAGAACTAGAAGCACTTTTAACAAAAAAATCCCTGTATTTCTAAAGCTTTTAATATTTCTTCATAATGTCTGCATAGTCTACTTTAAAAGGCTCAGAAGTCAGAATTTCTGTCTTAATTAACCACTAGATCTCCATACACACAGAATTTGAGCATATCTTTGTACACAAGTAGTTGCATCCATTTCCTCAGACATGAACAAGAACTTGATCTTTCTGTGAGAAGTCTAGACTCCTTTGATCAGTAATAACATGATGTGCATGCCAAATGACAGTTCCTCTTTAAATGTGGTCTCAGCTGTGGCATAGATGTTCACACTAATGCCATCTGTGAAGGTCAAGTGTACAGTGTAGAGTTACTAACTCTGATTTAGTCACAGGAAGTAGCCCACTGGGAAAACGGAGAGCAGTGTAGGGATGGTTGTGGGTCATCTGTAAGAAGAAAGCTGTATTCATGGATGACACACCCTCCCTGGCACATAGATCAGGTTTACAGAAGCACCTTGGAATCCATACAGAAGTGCCATGGCAGGCTTGGCCAAACATTAGGATTTGTTTATAAAGGGGTATGGGTTAGATGCCCAAATAAACTTATTAGGAAATGTGAGGTAAGTGACTTGGAAGGGGAGTGTTCGGCAGAAGTACACAGACTCAGAATTACTAAGTTAGAAGGGATCTTAAGAGATTTTCATTCTATGAAGAAAGCAGACCCAAATATGGGAAGTGAACAGCTGGTAGAGAAATATGCAGCACACCCTAAGTACCCAGCACGCTTCTCATTGCATTTAGGCTTTAGAATCCCACATTCTCTTATGGTGGCACATGGTGTCACTTTAAAAAAAAAAAAAAAAAAGACAGTACATTCCAAATCTAATGTTAGCACAAGTACAACAGATATAACGGAACTATGCAAGGATGGATTTCATTTGCCTATCAGCCAGTACTCGGCCCAAACAACAGATCATGTCAGAAAAAACAGCAGAAAATGGGTCTGTGAGTCTTTTGAAAAGAAACACAAGTAAGCATGATGGCGGTAAGACTTCATTTTTCTGATGAGTAGCACAGAAAACTGGGGCAGCAAGTTTTATCAGGATTTAAGTATGGTGGCTGCCAATGTTAAGGCAACATAATTGCTTATTTAATGTTTGTCTGGAATAGATGTTTTTTAATAAAGAGCCTATTTGTGGACAAAATGTAAAAGTATCAGGTAGACAACAGTATGCCAAGAATGGAATCGCAATGCTTTTTCATGGATGAAAAATGAGGCCAACCCTTACGTACCACAGTTACCTGCCATTACTTTGATGAGAATCCAGATATATTTGTCTCCACGTAATAATGACACAGCTGGATAGGACAGAAAATATAGTGGGTAAGAGTCACTGGAACTAAATACAGTAAGAGACAAATTTTAGTACCAGTGACTTAAAAAAATCATTCTCCAGGGAGATGTGGACAAAATGTGGAAAAGGTAACTTTAATTCAGTTTCAGTGTGAGCTGACAGTTCGATGTCTACCAAAAATGGCATTTATTCACTAGACTAGGCAAAGCATTCACACTCCTCTGGGAAATAAAGGTTACAAGAAATCAAGAAGAAATAAACAAAAATTCCTGTAAACAATGAGCATTTTGGTATTGTTTATTTGTTCCCAGCACATCTTTTAAAAAATTACACACGGGCATTTACTTATAGAACAGTACATCTAAGAAAACCAGTAAAAGGAGAATTCAAACGTACACTCAAAGCACAGTATACAGACTATGAGTTTGAGCCCTTGTGGAAAGCAGTATGGCTCAGTTTGAATTGACAAAGCTATGCTGAAATTCTCAGGTATTTTCCTTCCCCCTACATATCCACTTTTAGACTATATGTATAGAGAATTGTTCGTATGCATTCGTTACAGTAGTAGAATGGCTTACATACAAGTGCTCATCCACATGTAGTCCCCGGAAGATTACTACAGTACTGGCAGGAATACACACTGCCTTGGAGGAAGACTCAAGAGAAGATACTATTCAAGTTGTATCAGAGCCAAAGTATTTCACAGGCTTAGCAAAAAAATTAGAAAGACAAAAATGATGTAACTTACACATATTTTTTGTAAGATTTATCACTGAGGAACAGAAATGTGTTTCCTGAAGGCACCATCACACAAAAGAAGGACTGACCACACGCGAGGAACAGAAACCCCCCTTCGAGGCCCTGCTCCTAGGGGGCTGCGTGAGCAAACACCAAAAGCATGCCGGGAATGTGTCCAGGCTCTGTGAGGATGCCACATCTGCCACGCCACACTGTGAGGCCACGATGTTGGATAGTAAGGGTGAAAATGTAGGAATGAAAGTGGATACAAATCCCACTGACTGATGAGATGTATGTGAGAGTACAGGTCCACCATGCACTCAACTAAATACACTAGGTGATCCAAACCGACCCTGTGGAAAGGATTCTCAGTATTTCTACATACAACTACTGAATTCCTGACATTCCTGAAGAGGAAGAGCCTTGAACTGCAAAACAACCTGTCTTTAAAGACCTACCCTCTCCCACTCATTTCAAATGGCTATTTCATGGGGGCGGGAGGAATCTCAAGAAGGCACTGTGAGCTTTGGGGGATACTGTTGAAGTAGGTCAATAAATAATTACTTACAGGAACCATACCAGTACAAGCATTTCATGCCCTTTTAAATATTCAAATAAGGTTAATTTACGAATTAAAGTATGTCTCATAGGGCCCTGTGGTGTTCATGAGAAACACTACTAACAATACGTCTTAAAAACACGTGTATATGTTGCTCAGAAATTATACTAATTTTTTTTTCTTCTTCTCTCTCAGAATGAGAATTCAGAGTATCTAAAAAATGTACTTAGCAATATTCAATGTATTATTTTTGTCTTGTGAAAAAATATAAACTAATTTCCTTTGGGAACCAAAAGAGAAATCTTCTCATGTGCAAAGAACTAAAGTTACTGAATTCTGTCATGGTTCTTTGGCTTGAGTGTGGTATATATCCACGGTCCTTCCCTCCTTTGCCAAGGAATTAACTGCTGTGGTTAGAAAAGCACGAGGCCGCTCATTCTTTGAGGAACTTCCCAGCTTTAAAAGGGATATGCTTCAGATCATGGAAGACTAAGCACCTAGGAATTTAACATTGATAAAAAATGTAGAGTTGGACACGACCTAGGTAGCTAATGATATACTCAGCTACAGATCCCAAGGGATTTGGTCACAGATTGTACTTGATTATACTATATTAATAACATTTAAAAAAATCAATTTCCTGTTTTGCAAATCAGTGGAAATATGAAGATGCAAAACTAAGGTTGAAAGAAAGGCCAATATACAAACAAGAAAAAAAACAGCTTCACACTCCCTTTAAAGAAAAAAAAATTCTTAGGTCCAGGTCCATTTTATTAATAATATGTATCTATAATCTCTTGACATTTATACAAGCAGGTTTTACAGTTAAATTTCATACTAAAGACAAACACTATTTGGCTTTGGGAACAGAAATCTGAGTAACTTATACCCTTCATATCAGACACTATTTCAACAGTTTAAGTAAACTTCTTACACAGTCTAGATTTCAGTATCAACGTCCCTCTTCCCCTCTGCAGGAAAGTGAAATTAGAAAGAATTAAGTGAATATGTGACATATGGCTCATTTGGGAACATAAAGCCTCAAGCAAAAAACCAAGCTTTACAACTACTAAGGCCAAAGTAGGAACACTCAAAGTTCTTCATTCCTAACCTAGCACTTATAATACTTTCTGCTTTTCTCCTACCATGAGCTAACCCCTGATTAAAATCAAACTTGCTAAAGAGTAAGTGGTAAACAAAAAGCTACTAAAGCTGCCATTAACTTCTGTCTCAGTGTTTGCTGAAATGTAGATACGCTTTCCACAGCACTCCCTTTGGCTGCCTGAAGCACTACTATGTTCTGATATTGATACCAAATAGAAGTTCAACCAAATCCAGCCCCATTTGAAGACTCGAGGGAACACACTTCCACTGAGGACTTCAAAACGTCTCTGATCAGCTACAGTTAAGAAGTTGTAGCTGTGAAAGAGATTGATAAGGGGAACTCTCTGGGGCCAACATGCAAAAAAGTATTTTCAAAAATGCAATCTAAGACTTAATGGCTAATACAATATGCTGAAAAAAAGGTTTCCTTGCAACCATCTTTACCTGGTATAGTACACACTCTGATGGCAGCTCATCCTTTATTGCACTTTTATTTTCCAAAATATACCTCAACAGAGCTATGTACACTAGAAGGCTTCCAGCTTCATAAATAACTTCCGAGTAACAGTGCTATAATACATAAGCACTTTAGGAAGAAAATTCCCTATTTTTCAGAGGAGGAAAGAATTCAATCTTCTTCCCCGGTAAAATACTGGGCACAATAAACATGTGTCTTCCACAATTCCTATGAAACAAAAAAGCTCAGTTACTAGCATAAGACTAAATACTTATGCACTACTGTAAATCGCACTGAACATTAAGGCAGCAGTTTCTCTAAGGATCAATAAAGCCTGTTCATATACTTTAGTATTCAATGCTATTTCTACCAGCTGCAAGTTCCCATTCCCACTGAAGCCTCAGCCCAAATGACATCGCTGCATTTAAGTAAAATATTACAAATACGACAACTCAAGAAAGAGAAGTCAGTGCTACCCAGTACTGAAAACTAATCGGTTACAGGCTCTTAAAATTTTTAAATAAACTTATTAAAAATGAGTTAAGCCGCATATAAGCAATGTTCTCCTAACTTTGCCTCTTATGAAGCCATTTTCAGATACTTCAGGAATGAGAGGAATGGTCTAAGTGCTTTTTGTGCATATTCATGAACTCACTCCTCTACAGACATTAAGTCTGTACCAGGGTACCTCCCAGAAGCAGGTGGGTGAGAGTGGGGGAAGGCTTTCCTTTACTAAATTAGAAGGAAACAGTACTGATGAACGTTCTTGAGTTTCAAAATGATCCCTGTAGAAATGATTCCAACTACAAAATGTAGTCACCATTATAAAACCAAGGTCGGGGAGTCTTGTATACATAGGAAAAAACCCATAAATCACTAGTTTCCATAAGGTTCATGTAGAACAGTGAGCACAATAATTTCAAGTGTTAAATTTATAAATTCCTAATATCAAGTACAGATCTCTGAGGTTGGTGTAATCTAACTCCCTGGGAAAGAAAGTTATAACAATCACATGCAAAGGAATGAATCTGCTTATGAATGTTTTATTAAAAAATTATTCAGAAACATGTATACACTTCCAGTGAGATATTAGTACCTTACTAAATTTTACATTTTGATCACCGATTAGAGAAATCACCTTCATGAATAGATGCAGTGTATAAAGCTGATAATTTTATAATTCTGTAGCCAATCTCCTCATCAAGTGTCCAACCATTTCAATCAAATCCTCAAGGGCTTTAAGAAAGATCTGCTGGAAATTTTATAATTGAAAATAAATCACCAATGAAGAGAGGCAGCTTCTAAAAAATAAATATTTAGTTTTTGTTGTTAAACTGGTATACTGATTTGCTTATAGATTTAAGCTTGTTAGTTTGAGGCCAATTTTGATAGTTAAAAATTATTATTTTGAAATCTTAAAAATACCTTTTTATCATTTTTAAATTTTCACTTTTCTGGTTAAGGCTACTTCAGATATAAAAGGTATCAAACTGCCCAAAAATACTTTGGAGCAGTTGCTACATACACAGACAGTGCATCCTTTTAAAGGATCGTCTGCATTTTGACTTATATTATCTGATTAAATATTAATTTTAAAAAATTATCAAAAGTTAGGTATTTTATTAAGAAAAGAATCCATCCTCAAAATGTGAATCATGAACCTTGACAGACAGTAATTTAAACTAATCATCTCACTAATTTTAATAGCCAGGTTTGAATGTAAAAATGTTTTCTAAATGTGATTAATGCCTTCCTTATTATTTAAGAAATAGGATATTTCAAACTTTTGATTAGGGTATATGCATTAATACATTTCTTTTAAAATCAAGGTTAAACCAGTAATTCAAAAAAGGTATTAAACCATTAGGAACTAAATTCAAACTTTACTTTTATATGAAAATTTATCATGCTGCTGGGTTAATAAAAAAATAATTGCCACTGAAACTGTTGAGGCTTTGAAATTCAATAGCTGAGCAATGACTGTTTTTTAGCCAAACAATTCTTTCAGCTGGAGACACTGGGCCAGGAGTCTTCCTTCTGATCCTGCTGCAGCTTCTTCTGCAGCTCAGTCACGAGCACCCAACAGCAGAAACATTAGGACTCTGGGCTGGATAAAGACATTCATTTTATGGTAAACCCGTCTTTCACATACAATGAGTGGTGTCAGCTTTTCTTACAGAACACATTATGAATGATCTAGGATATAGTAACAATAGGTTACTTCAGGGATACAAATACAACTCATACCTCAGTAGAAACAGAAACATGAAGAACAAAAATGTGTCCCCTCACAGAGTAACTGTATACTGGTGATTTAAGGTTTTATAACTGTGCACTCATGTTAAGACTGTGGACCAAGCACCTTACAAACTAAAGGCATCCTAATAACAAGCTGCTTATATTCTCTCATGAATAGCCTCCTGTAGTGGCCTACTCAGAGTAGAGTATCTCTTAGAAAACATATACATATATCATGCTCAGTGGACTCTTTCTCTAGCTATCTGCTTCCCAGAAATAGTCTTTTTAAAAAAGGCTAGATAAGCAATAGACAATACCAAAGTCTGTTTCCAAGAGGAAGCATCAATATAAAACAGCTGGCAGCATCTTTCTCTGAAATAAGCAGCAGACTTGTGCTACCTAACATTTGAAATGACAACCGTTGGCTGTAAACTGATATACCTACAGTGAGAGACATAGGAATACCATTTGTCAATCCACAGATGAGAAAACAAACCACAGAATAAAAACAAACTTATTTTAAACCAACAAACAAAAGGGTCAAAATATAGTCTATGATATATTTGATTACTGGTATAACCATTGTTGAAGTCTTAAAAAGAAAAAGTGACATTTTTCATAATGATACTAATGGATTATAAAAGGTTTCTGTTTCCAAAGATGTTACTGGGGTCCACATATTCCTTGACAGACTTCAGCATCCCAAAGCCGACATCTGAGATGCTTTCTTTTAGCCATTGCTTCCGTAACTTGCCCACTGGAAAAACAAAATAAAAAATGCTTCAATATACACTATGATTCTGGGAACCAATCAATCTTGTGACCACGAGTGAACAAACACTGTGTGATAAATGCTTTTATTCAAAAATGAGAAATGTTTTGCTTTATTTGATTTATTGAGCCCACCAGACTATCAAGCTCATTAAGCCCGATGCATTCCCAGGGGAAGTCTGTGCTCCACAGTGTCTCCTTTCTCTGTAAACTCTGAAATGGAGATTGAAGGAAGCCCAGACTGAGATTACAGCCCATTTTACAAACAAGATGGGAAAAACATGTATTTCAAAAGAACCTATCTCTCATCTTAACTACCAAAATACACCAAAGTTTCAGAGAAAATGATGCTAACTTAAGGAAAAATTATTGTGACATGAATTTGATGATTATACTTACCAAAAAATTACAGTGTGTACATCCTAAAATATTTTTATTTCCTTTGAAGTTTTTAATCACGAAGATTTGAAACAAATTCTAACCTTTAATAGTCACATGGGAAAAAAATTCTGGTTATCAAGCTTAAAGCTTTCTGTTTACATTTTCTTTCACAGTGCTTTTAAATACATCTGCATGTTCCCGTATAACAATAATTGCTTTATTCCTAATGTTTTTCTATATTTAGGAAATTCTGGGGCACTAAATAAAAAAATCACATACCTAATCATCTTAAATTTAACACTTTGCTTTTATAAACTATGTAATGTCCCCTTCACTTTGTCTCTAACTCAAGAATGAAGTAACATTATGATCAGCATCATAATTATGTTTTTAAAAGCACTTAATAAAAAACATAACCTTTTCAAGTATAACTTTTGTAAGAAATGATATGTAAAAAAATTCTGCACTGTCAACTTATTTTGGCATTGCAAAGCAATGCAATATGCTTACTTATCTGTGGCAAAACGAATGTCTTTTAATTTACAGTTAGAATTATAAGCTGTTAGTACTTCTCAAATATATGCGTTATTGTAATAATTGAATTCTAACAGTCATTTTGCACAAATGTTCATTAATGATCTGAAGTCATCAACAGTGACTTAATTGGCTAACTGAAATGGGAAACCTTATTTCATTAAAGTATTCAACCTGTCATTCTAAAATGCACTCCCATTTATCAGGCTGCAGCGATATATCACAGCATCCACTTTTCAAAAGCCTTAAATACCACTGTAGTTCAACTCAAACCATCTTTTGTGTCCCGTTCTCCAGGAAACCATCAAATTGTCATCGAAATAATAAATGGCATGATACCCTCAGGCGTTTCTGCTTGGCTTTTAGAAATACGTTATTTCTCACGTGAGGATGAGGGGAAATGAAGTTCAGGAGGAAAAAAATTGAATTTAAAATTAAAAATTTTGAAGAAATTCTAAAATTAGAAGCTGAACAATATAAATTCCTATTCACACAATCTGTTCCACCTAAGAGATGTTCTGCTAGGACCTTTCACCATCTTCCAAGAGACAATCCACGACTATGCTTCAGCCTGTTTTCCTATCTCCAAATGGATTAGAAACTATAGTCGCTTCGATTCTGACATTCTGTGAGTTTAAACACTTCAAAAAGCTGAAAACCAGTTATTTCCAGATTTGTCTGTGAACTTAAAAAAAAAAAAAAACCCAGCAACTACTCTGAGTGGTACGGTGGCATTCTGTTACACAAGCTACCCACACTGAGGCAGCTCAGCAGAGAGGAGTCACGAGCAGTCAATGCCAGGCTCCACTGTTATCTGTAATATAGTTTCACTGAATGTGTCCTGTGGTTATAGATGTAATTGTCCTGAAAAGACTGCAAACAACTGCTCCAACAAGATGGAGCACATTAGAAGCTCAGCAGGATGCCCAACAGCTAGTTTGTCTGCCTGGTTTTACACCTCTAGTAATAATGCAATTCCACAAGGAGCTGAACCATCATCTGAGAAGCCACCCAACAGCCATTGCATATTTAATGAAGTCGCTCACCAAGCGGTGGAAAACAGAAGGTGCTTGGAGTGCATCATTAGTTCTGTCAGAAGGATAATTTACACATCTATCTTGTCAAATTTTCTATGGTTTATACTTTTACAATAATCAATCTAACATACATTTGATTAGTGAACTAGAAAGTTAAAAAAAAAGTGCAGCCAATATGGCTGTGGCCCCTCATAAACATATATGATGAAAGAATTTAACCCCTTGGTGACAGAGGTTTGCGAGCTGCTTCTGCTATTGATAAAAGAAACTGAAATGGGGTTAGAAGTCATGCTTATGCAATAAGAGGAGCTAGAAATCTTTGTTTTTGCTAAATAAGCATACAAAAAGAAAATACAGTTTAAGTAAAAACACAGTGTGCCTGAAAAACAAGGCAATTGTTAGAAATAGTCTTAAAACTCTGGAAAACTTTCTGTGGTTGCCTCAGATGCATCAATAAATTAAGACAACAAGCCACCACAGGCCTAATTCCAGAGAAGGAAGCTACTTTTAAGTGGAATACTTATTCCAGAGCTAGACAGTAGTAATAATGTCTCTGTATAATCATTTCTGGTGTTCAGAAATTAACTGACTATACTGGCCTATACACACATAACACATATGTATACACTTGTATAGTAATTGCTTAAAAATCTGCACATCTCATTCTGAAACAGAAGAAATGAACAAAAATTGCAAATAACAGTTGGCCTAAAACTATTTCAACATATAGTACCTAATATGTGACAGTCATATGAAGAGGCATGTATACTTTCATATCACATGAAGCTCCTTATTTTTTCTAGACCTGTATCATCCAATGTGGAATCTTCATGGTTACTGACCCAAGTACACTCCTTTGACTTTTGATTTTTATTCTTAGTCTAGGAGGTAACACTTGAGACACAAAAAGTATACTATGTTTGAACACAAGGACTCTGTAATCCATAATTCACTATTTTTTCTAAATAAAGAATGCCCTAAGTATTTAAACCAAATATTTTAAAGCCTTTACAAGATATAAAAAAGACAGTCCAAATACTGAGCATTACAGAAAACTAATGGTGGGGGGATCTTTATCTGCTTAAATTAAAACTGGAGTTAATCTTTTCACAGTATTATTTCTAATAATGCAGCTAAGACTGGATACACAGGTTTTATGCGTGTTCTGCAATATATATAGTAGCTTTGCATTCCCCTTTTGATGGTAACAGACCCAAGAAACAGTGTATTTTGTGATACAATCAACAGCATAAAACAATGAGTAGACGTGTACAGAAGGCATGGAGGTGCTGAAGTGATGTCATACATGCAAAATATGGACATGGTGGCAGCCCTGCCACCAAACACTATCTGGAACTACTTTTTGTGGTTTAAGAGACTGAAGATTCAGCAGAAACTACCAAATAGCTCCATCTTAAGAGGGATAAATCTGGGGTTTGTCACTCACAGGTCTTTTTAGCAAGATATAGTTTAACTTTTCCAATCAAAAGTTTAATTATAAGGTTAGAAACTTTTATAGACTCACTAAAAGGAACAAATTATGAATGGGGCCATAGATTTAGAGGCTTACTGAAACTAAAACTCAAAAGCAGAATTTAGCCAAAGCAAAAAGCAACTAACCACTATTATAACAACTATTTCAAGGGCTGCTGGTACAGCGCTTGCATAGCAAGCACAGGCCCTGGGTGTGATCCTCAGCAGCATCAAAACAAAATTTAAAAAAACAACTATTTCAAAAGTTCTAGTCTGTGCATCCTGGATGCCTACTGAGCAGTAACCTACGGGTTAGATTTTGAAAAAAAAACAAAACATTGGATAATTTCTACTCTTTGAGTTACATGTTAAATCTATGATAATGTATCTTCAAGTAGCACTGGGTTTCATCCTAAAAAGGGGACTCAGCTGTCCATTTCCTTGTGTTACAAAGCTCATTTCTGGGTGGTTGGCTCATCTTTGTAGAGGTGTACACTGAATGCCAGCAAACAGACCATCAACTGAGAGATGATAACACCCAGCCCTGTGAGATGGGGCCGTAAGAATAAAAGATTCCCTAAAAACTACATGTAATGTTTTGTGGACACTAAAGGTCATATTTGATTTTTAAAAATCATCTGGCTTGTTTTCTACTGAGACTTCTAGTATCAGAAAAAGTTCAAGAGTATTATGGACTTTACTAAAACAATTAAAATCCAATATAAGATTTTCCTCTTATTGTCAATACTTAAAATGTCACTTTTCTTAAATGCTAAGATTTCAACTGTGCAGTTTATATAATAGTTCTACACACTTCTAGACTCTTGAGTAGAGGGGATTCGGCATCCAAAAAAATATTTTGATTTTTAGGATGTTAACAGATGATAAGAACTAGATTCAATCTGTCTTCAAATTTAAGTCAGAGTAGCAATCAAGGCCCACACAACAGAGATGGGAATATGTTAGGTCAGATACGAGAAAACACTGTTCCTTAAAAGATTTGGATCATGTTTTTATTCCTCTGTGTAGTCCTGTTACAAGACACAGTACATACGTCACATAGTAAGAATTCAATATATGCTAGGTGAAATAAAAAAGTAGATATCTAGAATTATATCTAAAGTACTTTAGATATGGTAAATGGATTCAAACATCTAGGGAAAGCAATCTGGGTTTCTATAATTTCCTTTTATTGTATCTGCCTTGCATTGCCTATATTCTGACATTATTTCTTCGATATATTCGTAGTTATTCCATAATACCTTAGACAAGAGAAAGTATGTCATGGGAGCTAAACTTCTCATTTCCTTCAAAATCTCCAGGGTTCTGGACTCTTCTCAGTGGTCCTCAACTGGGGTGATTCTAGCCCCCATGGAGCATTAGTAATGTTTAGAGATGTTTCTGGTTGTCATAACCACGTGGAGTGGCTGGAGCTGGAAACTGTTCATATGTATGGAAGCAAGAAAAGGCCAGAGTGCCTCAAGCAGTCAAACTACCTCAGTCCTGAGAAAAACATCCTGCCTGGGTAATTTCAGCCATAGTCACTAGGCAACCTTGTATC